GTGTGTGTGTGTGTGTGTGTGTGTGTGTGTTTCCTACTGCATATCAATGCATTAATGAGCATCCCCGGCAGACCAAAGGAAATGGTATTTTGGTCCTTTTCTGAAAATAAGAGTTAATGAGTGTCTGACTATACCTGTGTAAGACAAAATAGACTCTTGGAAAAGACACAGTGGGGGACGGGGACCTAAAAGGAATCCCCAAGCTCATTGCCCTCAAGCTACTTCTCACTCCCAGGGACCCATGGTGTCAGAGTAGAGGCAGCATGGACGGCCTCTCCATAGGGTTCTTGTGGCTGATTTTTTTGGAAGGAGATTGCCAGGCCTTTCTTCTGAGGTGCCTCTGGGTCTTCACTTAGATCCTGATCATGTTAGCCATTAACACCTTCAGGTATCTGTTAGTTCTCATCAGTTGCTGGGTACCCATCCTGGGGGTTGGAGTCCTGGTGGCATAGTGGTTACACGTTGGGCTGGAATCTGAAAGGTCAGCAGTTTGAAACCACCAGCTGCTCCTCAGGAGAAAGATGAAGCTTTCTACTCCCATAAAGAGTTCCAGTCTCAGAAACCCACATGGATAGCTCTACCCTATCTATAGGGTTGCCATGAGTCAGAATCAATTCAATGGCAGTGAGTCGGTTGGTTAGTTGGTTGGTTGGCTGGTTGGTTGGTTGGTTTGGCCTGGGTGTTTGTCCTGTTGTAGATGGGGTCACTCTGAGCCAGAACCGACTCCACATGGAACAGTAGGGAGCCTGGGGGAAGGCATTGTGCCTGGATATCTTGGTAGGAATTTTCTCCTTCAAGCACTGCAAGGACAGCCCTGCAAAGGAGGGACGACTGAGCCAGTTTCCCAAAGAGGAAATTCAAAGACTGTAGGTGGCTTCCCTTAGAGACACAGGTGACCAATAGAGACCCTTGATCTGGAAATGCAATCGCTAGTTTCTCAGTGTGTGTTTTTGTCCCTCAACACTACCTTCCTTAATAAAAGGGGTAGGAGAAAGGGAGAAAGACAGGGCTGTTTGCCCCTACCCACCCCCCTCCCCGCTCAACTCCCCCCAGCCCCTGGCTACTCCCTAAAGATTTACAGCCTTAGAAAGGCCAGGGAGCAGTCCTAGCACACCCGGTAATCGCTCTCAGTCAGAATCGGCTGTCCAATGGCAGCGGTTGTTTATAAAGAGGAGGGAGAAGAGGTGTCAGTGAACTTCTGGGCTGGCAGCAGAGGTGAGGGCAGCTGTGTGTGTCAGACTCGGTGCCCTGGTTGAGAGAGGGCGGAGCCTGCCCCAGGTACACTGCCTGCGACAAGCCCACCCTACACTGTGCAGTCGGATTTGTCTTCTGGTGCAGTCCTCTGACTGGTGACACTGGGGAAGTATCACCAACAAGCTATTGAATAAGTCCTCTGGTCTCAATAGCTACTACAGTGACAAAGGGGACACAGGGCCTGGCGATGTTGCCTCCTCTCATCATCAATAAAGTTCCCAGGAGTTAGAGCAGCTAGCCACAAACCTAATGGCGCACAGAGAACCCTCACTGAGGGGTCACGTTTCTGCTCAGAAATAGACTCACTGCCCACAGGCCTCTGGGCAGCCTGGGAAAGCTTGAGCCCACCTCTCTCATTCTCGGTTTTCTCACTGGTCAACAGTCCACGATCTCTCCTGGGTGTCTACGCTATTCGCTGGCGGTGCAGTGATTCCACACCGGGCTGTGGCCCGTGAGGTCAGCAGTTTGAAAACGACAGCCGCTCCATGGGAGAAAGACGAGGCTTTCCCATAAAGAGTCACAGACTGGGAAACTCACAGGGCCAGTTCTACCTTGTCCTTCAAGGTCCCTATGAGTCGGCATTGACTGGAAGGCAGTGAGTGTAGTTTTGGGGGGTCTGGTCTCTGCGGCTAGAGAATCTTAGCTCAGGCAGACTTCATCACCAAATGAGGGAATCCGTTCTGTGCTTTGTGTGTTTGAGCAGAAAATCAGGGCCCAGGTGAGTGAGGGGAGCGGACATTCAGGTTCAGTGGGTGTGGTGTGGCCTCCTCCTCCCTAGACATGTGCCAATTTGAGGTCATTCAACTGGGCAGAGGCTGCCTGCATCTAATGGGCCGAGGCCAGCCACGCTGCTCACCATCCAGAAATGCACAGCGCAGCCCCCAAGGCCACTCATGGTGGGGGCGGAGAAGCCTCGTTCTGGGCCCAGAACCCACGGTCTTTGACCAATGTACAAGCTGCCTCCCAACTGGCGGTGACAGTATGCACCCCTCTTCCCCAGTCCCCCCCTCCAAAAAAGGTGGAAGTGCAGAATAAAGCTAGGTGAGACCACTAGGGCACCTGCAAACGAATGGGGTGGCAGGAGTCGGCCGCCGCTTCCTGGCCAGGCTGCCAGAGCGCAGTTTCCAGTAGCCAGCTCCCGAGCCTCGAGCCCCCGGCCCGGGGCCCTGCGCCGCGGTCTATAAGGCGTGTGGAGTCCATTAGGAAGCCTTGAATAACTGCTGCTTGCGTTTGTGTTTGCAGTCGACTTGGGGATACGAGTCCAGGCGGATAACGCAGCCGCTTCTTCCCCGGGGACAATGGAGCCGAGCAGGGTGGCGGATGCCGGCGGGACAGGGGCCAAACCCGAGGTGCCAGCTGCTCGCTCGCGCCTCTTCATGACCCTCTCTGGGCCTGTACCAGGACGTGCCCGAGACCAAGCCTCGGATTCATCCGCCGGATCCGTGCGGCTCAATGTCAGCCCCAAGAAAGGCCCAGGGAACAAAGGCCCGAGTGAGAGCGTGCCGCTGCCCGCTGCAGCTGCAGTGCCCACCGCCCCGGATAAAACCCCCGCCGCCTCGGGCCCTCGGGGACCCGCGCCTCTCCCCCCGGAGCCCGAGGGCGCAGCCCTCTCCGTGCCCAAGGACCCCGGCTTCTTCGACAAAATCTTCAAACTGGACAAGGGACGCGAAAAGACCCCTGTGGACAGCCAAGCAGATGCCCCGGGTGTCCCAAGGGGGGACAGAGCTGACAACGTTGCTGGACCGGCGGGGCCGCGCAGCGATGACCGGGGACAGCAGGCAAGTGCTCAGAAAGTGGGGCGTGGGGTGGGAGCACAGGGTGTCCCCTGCGCTCCTAATTCAGGCCCCCGGGAGGCCATGGACTGCACTCTACACAGGACAGGGTAGGGGTGGGGAGGTTGGGGGAAGGGCACCAATTGGGCAGGGCACAGGCCAGGGGCTTAAGGGGCACAGCTGGGCAGAGCACAGACCCTGGAGGGAAGCACAGGCCGGAGGCACAGGCCGGAGGCACAGGCTGGGCAGGGCACAGGCCTGGGCGTGCCCGGTTGGGCTGGGTTTGACTGGGCGGCCAATGGCAAACTGGATGGTTGCAGTCAGAGGGTCTTTGGCACAGTGCAGGGCTGCTGACCCTGCTAGAACAAGTAGCACATCTGGGTCTCCGGGAGTTTGGGAGCACTGTGGCGGCTGGGACCTCCGTCGGGAGTCAATGAAAGAAGAGGTGTGCATCCCATCATGGTGGAGACGAACTCGGTGGAGATGAACCGAGAGGTGGTGTCCCTGAGCAGCGGGGAAAGCTGACTGTGATCAGGGTCAAATGGTTTCTAACCGACAGATTCCCTGCCCGCCACGCTCCGCACTCCTCCGTTGGTCAGGCGCACAGGCCAGCTTATTGGAGTTGGTTTGAACACATTTCCTGCTCTGCTTTTAAAAACATCCAGAATGGCGCTTTTGCACAAGGCCCAGATTGGAAGAAAGGCCCTTTATGGTGCTGAGCCGGCTCTTTGATGTCCTCCTGTATTGCCCACCAAGCAGGGCAGTGTCTTTGTAAGAACAACTGTTTGCTGTTGTTCTTGTTTTTGTTTGTGTCTTTAAGGACGTATCCCCAACCCAGTTGCTTCCTACCCTCAACAACGAAAAGGCACGTGTGCTGCGTTGTTGTGCTTTCTGAGGTGAAAATCATCTACATTGCACTTCATCACCTTGTTTGTATTCTGCCAAGAATTCCTAGAACCAGGAAGAAACAAAACTTGGCATGCTGCATTGTTAATTTTTTTAAGGCGCCTTGTTCCTCGGTTCATAGACTTCTCAATGGCAGTGTTTTGCCAATGTTGGAAATTAAGTTAGGGGACTTTAGTGGAGTTGGAGGAGGAGCTGTCGTGGCGCAGAAGTTAGGTGCTCAGCTACTTACTAATCACAAGGTTGGCAGTTTGAAACCATCAGAGGAAGAAAGGGCCGTCCGCTTCCACGGAGATGGAAATCCTGGGTAGCGGGTTCCTCTGCCCTGTGGGGTCGGAGTCAGGCTGACTTGAGGGCAACAATGCCTTTGGTTTGCTCTTGAGTTTGTTGTAGCTGTTAGATACCATTGTGCCGGTTCTGACCCATAGTGACCTTATACACCACAGAGCCAAACACTGCCCGGTCCTGTGCCATCCCCACATCTATTGCTATGCCTGAGCCCCTGGAGGCAGCCACTGTGTCCATCCATTGAGGGCCTTCCTCTTTGTCACGAGCCCTCTACTTTACCAGCCATGGTGGCCTTCTCCAGAGACTGGGCTCTCCTGACAACGCATCCCAAGTCTGTGAGACGAAGTCTCGCCCTCCCTGCTTCCAAGGAGCTCTCTGGCAGTACTTCTTCAAAGCAGATGGGTTTGTCCTTGAGGGAACAAAAAAAATTAAATCAGGCTCAGTTTTATAGGAGGAGCCCTGGTGGTGTAGTGGTTACTCGTGGGGCTGCAAACCTCAAGGTCAGCAGTTCAAAACCACCAGCCATCCTCGGCAGAAAGATGAGGGTTTCCGTCCTGAAAAGAGTTCCAGTCTCGGAAACCCGCAGGGACGATTCTGCCCTGTCCCGTAGGATCGCTCTAGGTCAGCATGGACTCGATGGCGGTGTGTTTGAGGTCGGTTTGATATTGCATGCGTCCACATTGTAAGCAGCCTCGTCTGTGGCCAGTGAAGCCGTAGATGTCCTTGACTTAATGAAAAGGCTGCTGTGTGCTTGGAAGGAGTCCTGGAGGCCCGCGGTTAAGGGGGCCCGAGCCCACCAGCAGCTTCACAGGGGAAGAAAAGGGGTCCTGGCCATCTTCTCCTGTACAGAACACAGTCACAAAAGCCCCCTGGGACCGCTTGCTTTCGTCTGTCACGTGGGGCTCTCTGGGCCAGGGCCGTATGTGCGTGACACAGTGCCTGACAGGGAATGTTTGCCGGTTCGAGTGCACCCAGAAGTATCTTCAAAGAAAAACCTGGTGATCCACATGCCCCCAAATCAACCTGCAGAAAACCCTCTGAGCACAGCCCCACTCTGAGACACATGGGGTCACCAGACATTGAAATGGACTCAGGGCAGCTGGGACTTGTTTGGGCACTATCACCAATTCTGTGGTTTCCCCATTTTTATGTGCAGAGAACTTGTTCTCAAAAGCTGAAGGGGAAAAAAAGTCCCTTCAAATGTGCATTTCCCAAAATGCACCAGTTTAGGAAGCCATCTGAATGTTTTCCTGTTGGATCAGAGTGGGGCCAGAGAGGTGAGAAACCGATTCACACCGACAGCCCTCATGGAGCGTACAGCCTAGGGGGAGACACGGCACACAGGTCAGGAAGCTGCTGTGCGGCACTTGGTGCTCTGCTGGGGAGTGGAGAGTGTCTGAGACGCTGACCAGGCGCACGGAGAATTAGCATAACGGATCCAGGAAGTCCTGAGACTAGAGCTTCTCAAGCAGTGGCTTTCTTGAGGTGGGGAGCACATTTTGCAGAGCTATCAGAGTGGACATCCATGTATTGATTCAGGATCCTTAGGGTGAATGATGCTCGGCCCTCAGCCTCCTCCACTGTCATGTCCCTCCCCTGCCGCCCACACAGCCTACCCCCACCCCACCCCCTTCCACTGCAGCTCCCTGCTGGATTGTCATTCCAGCCACAACCCCTTTGAGCTGTGAACTTGGGAGAGAGAAACGGCATGGGTTCCATTCTGGGGCGGGGGGAACACAAAATCTTCAGTGTTTGTAGGACGACAGTCTTATTTTTGTGCCCTGAAAAAACCCCACATTCAGAGCATAGCAAAATTAAAACAAGGCAAGAATTCATGAACAAATGCAGCATTTACTGCATAGGCCGAAGAAAAGATAAATTATATGCCTGAAAGGTTTCACTGAACTGGGATTGACACAAACCAACATGTTGGCAGCAATGCGATTTTTCTTCCCTTCTCCACGTCTTCCCCCAACAACTGAACCAAAGCTATAAGACATGCATTGAAAAGACTTCTCTCTCTCTCTCTCTCTCTCTCTCTCTCACACACACACACACACACATACACACACA